TAAAGAAAAGCCAAACGACGAAAACAAAGATGACCACCGGTCGGTGAATTACAAGCGGACGTGGATCTTATTTGTGGAAGGGCGAAACGGGCGGTGACTATGAGATGCCTTCATTATAGCCATCCTTCTCTATCACACGGATTTCTATGACTTACTTTATCGCTCTCACGTAACGGCCGATGAACCATGGGGACTTTCCGACCCTGTATATTCGATAAATATTTTACAACAAAACAAATCAATAATTTGTATCAAGAATTCGAAATTTTATAAAAAAAAGGGAAAAAAATTAAAAATTTGCTCTTCAGCAAGTGTTGATTTTTCATATTGTAAATTTGGTCTAAACAACTTATAAATGGGATACCATTAGGTTGTGTTAACAAAATATTAGCGGTGTTATGAGGGGTCAGATTAATCATGTATCATTTATTTCCTTTAGTAAGGTTGCAGGTTGTATTTTTGATACTGTAAATGTATAAAGATAAAGATGAATGTAAAAAGAAATTTGCTTGGAATGTTTGTCTATTTCTTGGAACACATTTTGTAATAAGACATTTTTTTATTATAAAAGTTTTGTTTAGTAAATTTCTCAAAGGAATAGCATACACGCGCTATAGTCCAATGTTATTGTGAGATCAGTAAATAGACCAAAATATTGTAGGTACTGTCATATGTGACAGGCATACTTTGTTGTAATAGGAAAAAGGAGAAAATTTCAAAAAAGAACAAGCATAGGTATGTAGAATTCCAATTTAAAAAACTACAAGTGTGGTTTCTATCTTCGAAACGCAATTCACTTATTTTTTATATATTTCTTTGAAATTGTAAGAAATTTTCCCAAAAGTCAGAGAAAAGAGAGAAGGATGTTACCTATGTGAATACCCATGTGCATATATTGAACATAATTGCCATAGTTTTTCAATAAAAATCAGTTACTATAAAAGTATTATGTCAATAAAAACTAAACACAGTAAAATAATTACGCGGCGGACATATTAATTTGACATATTATAACATTGTTAATATTCTGTGGTCAGAACCTAATATTCAATTTGGACAATTATTATACATTGGTTTTAAACTTAGCTTATATTTGTATCGGACAATTAAATTTTTGTCAGGTGGCAAACAATTTTCCAACCATTTAGCAAATTATTTTTACTCAGCTTTACTTTCCTAACTTTCCAAAAATATCGAATTTTTAGAAGAAAACAAATTCTATGTGATCGTGAATGTTAGGCAACCAAACTTACACTAAGGCAATTAATTTAAAAATCTCTAAAGACTAATGATATCAGTGGATTACATACTTCATTTCTCCTTTGAAGATAGTAATATTAATTTTATTAAAATACACCTTTAAAAAATTTATTAATTTAAAAGTTATGTGTTCGCGGCATAGTTTTAGTTTCGCCTTTGTTTGATTATTTTGCTATATGTGAGAAAAATATAAACAATGATAATATCTGAATGGGCAATAATAGTTTAATAAAAACTAGAAGTACTGCAGGGTGGTTTCCCTTTAAATATAGAAACTGAAGGAATAGATTAATTATCAAAATGTAAGTAGTGTTTGCTCCACAAACTTTTTTCCTAACGAACGCGATATAAAAAATACAGGGAGTTAAAGTTTACAAAAAAATATATATTTTCTGTCATGTCTTCATAATATGCTCTTATGGAATTGAATGAAATTTACTACAGAGCATTCACTTAATTAGACCTTTTATTAACCTTGTGGCTTTAACCAGTGGCGTGCTAATGAAGGTGCCGCCCTATTTTCCCATGAAAAAGTACACCACTGGCGGTTTTTTAGAGAAATGTTATGTTAAATGTTATGTTGAATGAATGAAAAATGTTGGTGTTTTTTAATAGCAGCAGCCATTTGGGAGGTAATATTTATTTGGTAACAAATTTAGTCCATCTGCATAAACGGATTCATTTGTCAGCGTTATCAGTTAGTAATCTTATTAATAAACTATGAAAATTTAATTTGGTAGTAGTTAAAACAATTACGTTGGACTTGGGAATTTTAAAAATAAATATTTTTGATTTATAAATACAAAATAATTTTAACATACCTTCACTACTGACAATATAGCATAGAGCGATAGCTATTTTGTCTATGCCTTCATTACAGTTACAAGTAAATCAGAGTTTTCAGTGACTGTATTTACATATGAAGGGTACAGGGGAAAAAAGATGAATGTCCAATATTTGCCATTTGTAAATAAATACATATAACGATGCCCTAGTGGCCACTGCTTTCGTGAAAACAATCATACTGGCGAAAAGAAATTAGGGTTGAAAGATACAGCGTACTTAAAATTTGCCTTACAGGGAAAGAAAGATGAATGTCCCGCCAGTGTGTGAAAAACAGATGAATGTCCTACTTGTAACTAGCACGTGTTCTGATGTTGCTCCTGTTAGATTTAGTTTGTCGATCAAACGCCTATACAAACGG